GTCTCAAGTGGTGACCTGTAGAGTCGGGTGCTGGTATAGATGGAGTGTTTGGAAACGGTTGAGATTCCAAACGTTGAGATTTCAGGACTTTCCTAAATCACCGGCCTATCATGGCCTATCTATGTCCTGTGAATCAACCAAAGCTTGTGCTCCCATGCGCTCACCGAAACTGATCAATGGAAATTGCGAGCCCCTGCGAGCTCCTTTCTACAAACTGATGATTGGACAGTATATACGGCTGTTATTCCACGAAGCCGACCAGTGAAAAATGACTGGTCCAATGATAATCCAATCAACTTCTCGAAGTCCACAGAAACACTGACCCTTCGTGGCCGAGGCTCAGACCACATTTGAAGATGGAAGACTCTGAGCTGCCGATGTTTCGATAGATCTGGCGACGGCATGGATCCCAAAGGCTAAATTTGGCACCACTACCTAGGACCTAGCACTTCCGACGGGTGTCTGAAGACCTGCTTGCGCAGGGTAGGGCAGTCTATTGTACACGTGGATGATCCTGGTATATGTTTTCAGGAAATTCCTGAAGCCGGGTCCAGAGGGACCACATGTTGTATGGTTCTTACAATGACCCCTCGTCTCCACCCCAATGGTTGTCATGGTGATCAATAGGCCAGTCCCATGCTCTTTGTGTTTGGGTATGGAGTACAGTCGACCATTGAACTAGAGTGAGATTTGGTGAGATACAGTGAGGGGTATCCCGGTCTCCCTGAAAGTGCACCTTCCAAATCCCCTAGAAAGAAAAGCTTACGTGGTGTTCTGGACGTGTGGGATTCCGATCAACAACCCGGCTGCGGCTCCGAAGTCTTCATGTTGGTCATTGTGTGTGTTTTTACCACGTGTCTCTCGTCTAGGGTGCCCACTCAAGCGTCCTGAACGGTCAATAAGAATCTGAGTAGCAAAACAACAAGCCTCTTCAATGCTTGTTGCAGGTTTTTGTTCTTTTTCGGACACACCGAGAACCTGGGATCGATCCACACAAAATTCCGGGGACCCCATTCCGGACCACCGGCTTAAGACTCTTAAGGCAGCTCCCGGTCGGTGGGATGGACCGTCTCAGGAGATCTTCCAAGTCCCAGGCAATGACCTGGAGATGAGGCTTGGACATGGAAGGGAAGGAAAGGGAGACCTAGACATGGCCATGACCTGGAGGGAGTGCGTGAAGGCCACGAAGCGAGGAAGGGAAGGACCGGACCCAGTGGAAGACCGGCCGCAGGGAAGGCCAGGTCACTCAGTGTGTGTTCCAAAGATGTGTGTGTGTATATGTGTGTGTGTATTGACCCTGGGAGTCAAAGACTATAAAAAGAATGAACTTTAGGGGACTTCAGCCGGTCAAAATATAGTCTTTGGACTTCTAGGGTTGATATTGATATGAGGAGACTCCTGAGATCTCGCCCCTGGCTGCGTCGACTGGTCTACTTCAATGGGTAGAATGTAGACTGGTCCATTTCCCTTCTCCCAACCCACGGGGGTCGTTGCCTGGTCTGGTTTCCCGTGTTTGCCCACCCATAAGATCCCGTGTAACACATCACACGTCGTCAGCATATGTCGCAGTTTTTTTGGATGTTGCTCGAATCACACACCGGGTGGATGAGGATATGGTAGGATGAGGATGGTGACCATGAGTACTAGACCAGACAAATGGGACTGGTGACTGGTATATCATGTACCCCATGATTTCATGGCCCATCCATGTAGGATATATACAACTGAGTAACTATTCCATACGTGAATGTTCTGGGGATTATAACAATTTGTCCAAAACCCCCTGTTTTACAAGCCTCGCCGCTGAGGAGTCATCGTTTTTCCAGGAGGGTTTGTATACGTCCCTTGCTTTCAGGATGTTTCACGTATTTTTGCATCCATTTCTTCTCCCAGAGTTGCTATTCTTGGCAGCTTGCCACCAGTTTTAGATCATTTGCACAGGTTCTCCGGGTTCCCCCAGAACACTGGCCGGACCCAGGTTTTACAGCTTTCATGGAATGATTTGCTACAAGAACAACCAGCACTATGTGGCATCTTGGGTTGTGCAGCACTTTTGTGTGCGCCATGTTTCGCTGGACACCGGGGAAAAGCTAATGGGGGTACACTCCCTGAAAGAATCCACGGTTGCCAACGTGGATTCCATGGTGACGTTCGTTCGGATGACCATGACATGAAATGGCAGGGACTGTGCTACGGCTATACCCTTCTTGGGGTCCTGGGTCGTCTACGCCCGGTCGATCGTCGGGTCGATCGACGATGGTTTTGAGTCCCTGATGAGTAACGCCGTGATGGTCTACGCAGTGACCAGGGTAGTGACCTGAACACCCAGACAGTGCCATTGGGGTGGTTGACCTGGAGTCCATGTAGACATACATGCCATACATGGCAATGTTTGGGTACTGGTTCTTCCCAGTCGATTCCACCCGGCACATGTTGCTTGGTTGGTTTTAGAGCCTCCCTTTGTTCTGTTTGTTCAGGAGCCCGATACGAATACGAAGCAACTGACCACCTTTCCGGCCACTGACGAAGCGACTGCCAAGGCATTGTTTTGGTGCCATGCAAAAGAGCGCTGGATCTTTTTTGACGATCGCAAAGTCGAAGAGAAAGAGGGCTGGACATCCGTGGCCAACTTCTTGTGGACCGGCGGAGGCTTGCCTGAGAACGAACTGTGCACGGAAGCGAGAAGAAATCTCAGGAAATCTTATCCCTTCCACATTCCACGTCCACCCACCCGGAATAGTTCCCTAGGGCTCCTGTCCCATATCCTCTGTCAGGTTCGGTGGTTAGACCCCCTGGCACCCACCCCAACCATCTTCGAAACGGAGGCAGTCGGAGCCCTAGGCGTTTAACATACCATGTTTTCCATCCTCACGAGGCCCCAAGCTCAGCTTTGTTTGATTGTGAGGTCCCCAGCCGTCCTGACCTATGATTCCAGGTCCCGACCGATCATGACTCCCCGCAGAAGACCGACCGCGAGGTGATTTGCTGATCTTCGTCCATGGCAAACATCAACACAGGGGTGCGTTCAATAGTGGATTCCCATCGCCATTGATTTAAGTTCTGAATTGACGAACAACCATCATCATGTGTTTTACCAAGGATTCTAGTTCTAGACTTTAAATGTCAAACATTTTAAACCAGGTCAACCTTTACATTCATGGTCTTAGAAGTCTAGGGAACAATTGGAACGATTTGTTCACCCTTTTAGATCGTGGCACTGGATCTCCAGCTCTACCACGATTCGCACAGTTCGCACATGTTCGCTACCAAATACAATTAAAGAAACTGGAAGCTGACTAAACTGACCTGCTTCTTCCAAGTGATCCAGACAGATCCCAGGTGGTTCGGTCACAGCCATATAAGCCTTTGACTGGCGCCATATAAGCCTCTCTCATTGGCCGGGAAGTTCAGAAGCTGGGGCGACTTCCTCCAGTCGGTGCGACTTCCGCTTTTGAGAAGTCGACTTGAAATCAGAACTCCACAACATCTCCAAACCATCCATGTCTGTACTCATTCAAAGATAAATCCACTCCACACTCCACGGCGGCCTGAGGATATCTTCCGACCCTCCTCTTCTACGAGCGCAGCGATCGCTCTGACGTGGTCTGCGCTGAGCTGTCCAAAGAGCTTGGAGCGCTCGAAGAGCCATCGCTCTGTAGCGCGATGTGAGGATCCGTGGAGAACACCTGAAAAGCATTGAAGGCACAGAGAGCGAAGCCAACAAAGCGAAGAGAAACATCAAGGAGACGAATGTCACCTAGCGCAGGATGGAATGCAAGACATGTGACAAAAGAAGTTGATAAGTAGTGGTTTCATGATGTTTCATGTACATGCCTTCTCCAGTTGATTTTTTGGATGCAGTAGTAGATCTACTCCGGAACTTGCGGAGAACTCTATCATACAGGTCAGTGACCTCATTATTCTGGACCTGGTCACAGAACAAGCACAAATTAAGGAGGTAAAAGACCAGGTTTTACTGGGTCAGACTGGACTTTTAGGGCTACATTCTGCAGCCTTTTTGTAGCTTAAGGAATCACCGTGCTTGGTGGAATCACCGTGTTCTGACTTGTGGACTGGTGTTCTTCACGGCAACCGTGTAGGATGGTGACCTCCGTCACTTGCAATGGAGCCATGAAGAGTCAGGGTAGAACCAAGAGGTATATGGCCTCCAATCTAAGAGCGATGACCTCCAACCCAATAAATAGCGTGGGCTCCATTGACAAACGACCGAACTCCCTCAGCAGAAGGCAGCGCACGCCCCGTGAAGTCCAAAAGGAACGAACAATCAATCTTGTGGAGGGCGAAGAGACCCTTGGATGGCGCCCATGAACGATGCCAGGGTTGTTGGGGAGGAGGGTTGTTTGGAGGTTTTGTTGAGGACTCGCTAGGGGGACTCAAGAGTCTCTTAAAGGGATGATCGGATGTACAAGAAGTTATGGTGGAAGACCACTGATCCACCCGAAATGATCAGGCGATGGACACGCCAGAAGCTTTTTGCGTATTCCGTTTGAACTGTGCTTGGGAGCCTGTTAGGAAGAAACCATCATAACCGAGAATTTCCATGGGAATTGCATATTTCCGATCAATTGGGTGGTTGAAAAGAAGTCAAGGTCTTTCAGTCACACGGAGTGTTTGGCATTTAATGGAAGTTCTGCAACTTGTGCACTGTGGACATCTGAAACAATTGATCACAAAATCTGGATGGTGTATAGATGATGAGACCCCCAACCACCCCACCAGGTGCTCTGCGTCTTCATCACCCTGTGTCGTTGACAAGCCCAGAAAAAAAAAAAAACACTCCTTGAACCCCCCAAACCATCTTTTCTTGCGGTCACGTCGTCCCGCCCCTCTAAAGCTCTTCCACTAAGTGGGGTGACTCCTTGAACCGCCCAAAACCATCTTGTCTTGGAGTTCTCCGTCTGGGTTCTCCGTTTGGGAGCTGTCTGCCGCGCGGCGACCGGTCACCGCCCAGTCACCCGGTCCCTCAACCGGTCGCTCAGGTGGCGAATGTGGGCGACTCGCGCGCCGTGTCGATCGACGGCTCGGCAGGCGAGGCTGAGAGACTGAAACACTGGACATGGAGTCATGGAGTCTTTCTTTTCTTATGAGTCTTATGGATGGTGGATGGAGTCTTATTTCTTTCGATCCATTAAGTCCGTGCATTGGAACGGATGGACACTGAAGGGTTTGGACCTCTTCTTTGTGGGAAGTGCGCCACCCGCCGATCGCGTGCGGCCTTCGCGTGCGCGACTCGTCGAGGCACCCAGCGCTTGTCGATGGACCATCGTCCCTCCGATCCGGCAGAAGCCCGGCGCGTACGGGAGGAAGGCGCCGACGGGTTCCCGGTTCCCGGTTACCGGTCGGACCACCAGACCGATGTCGTGATGGGTCTGGTTGGAGAGGTTTCGGGACACCGATGGGACAGTGCCGGACAGCATGGCCAGAGTTAGTTGGTGTGAGAAATTCCTTGCCACATACAGTATCGCTCATGCTCAGCTCAGTATCTTCAGACATATAGAACATCATAAATATGTAGAACATGCTACGGTTCGTTCGGAGCTTGGTCTTCTCGCACATCTTGGGACTTGACATCCGAAGCTTGCTGTGGGGCGCCTCCACAGAGGAATTCTCCGGCAAGACGACCCATTTGGAGGGAAAAGGACAACATTAGGGACCCATTGTATAGGGGACCAGAAGACCCACAAATGGAGAATTCCACCGTTTTTGATGGTCTTAGTATTATAGGGATCCCGTCGTACCTTCTCACCAGGTACGACTGGACCCGACACTGCTTAACAGCGTCTCCAATCACCTGAGGTTCGGTACGACTGGATCCCTATAAGGATACAGTATCGTACTATGTTCCTTCCTTCCTGTCACCGGATGCTTCGCATTCTCGGAGAACAACATCTTTTCTTTTTCGGATCCCCAGGACCTTCCAGCATCGGTTTGAAGTCGATTTGGATCCCTTTCCCTAGACCTCCAGCCGTAGCTCCTCAGAATGTATTTGGACCCCCCAAACCCACCCCAAACACGTTCTCAGAAGGTACTTAGAGGCCTAGGGTTTGAAATGCGCCGTCACCCGGGACTTTTGGGGATTCGGATGGACGCAGATCTTCGACAAGGTGTGATTCTCAACGCGCCCAGACACGACGCTGGCGCGCAGCGGAGACACGACCCAGACACACAACCATTCCAGTACCCATTCCCTAGAGGGCTCCTGTCCCATATCCCCAGATTCGGTGGGTAGACCCCCCTGGCACCCACCCCTGGCACCCCTGTCTCATCTTTAAAACGGAGGGCATTGTTTCGCAGGGATTGGACTTGGACCTCCAGTTGAACATGTCGCCCAAACCCAGCGGTCCAAGACTCCAGCCGACTCGTGGGACACCTGTGGGACCTGTTGACGGTAGAGACCTGTGCAGGTGGTTTCGTGACCATGGGACGGGTCGCAGGCCGGGTCCAGAGGGGCTGCATGATGGCATGGCAGGGTTGGATGTGGGTGTCACTCAAACACCAAGGGAGAGCCCTCAAAGATCTTTGGACATTGAGAGATATATTGAGAGATTTGAGAGGATGAAAGACATTGGGACCCAAACGAGGCTGGATGTCCTTTTCTTTTTCATGTTGAGCTCCTGAGTTGCTTTGATTCCAACCTTCCGTGAGGCATATGTATGCACGCATGTGGATCAGAACGGGGGGCGGGCCGGAGGGGACTCTGAGGGTCGAAAAAGCGGATCCAGAGAAACCCCAAAAAGCCATCGGCGGACCGAAGATGATTGAAACTGGTAGGAGAAAGATCGTTGGAAGATGAGCAGCTATTTGAATGGAGCTGGCATATGATTTTGCCAACAACAAGATCACAATATCTATGCTGTATTACATATGTGTTCCAGGAGGAGTGCACATAGAATATACATGAATATACTGATCTTAAAAAAAGGAAACTACAACTGAAGTTAAATAAACATATTTGGACCGGGGTCTGGGCATTGAAAAGAAAATGTAGGAGCTCAGCCCCCTCAAGCGCACAAAAAATCACATGTTTATTTTAAAAATGCTTTCTGTGTTTGGAAGATATGAACCTTGTCTCCAAAGAATCTATTTTAGAATGTGAGGCTGATGCTGGAGATTCGTTTTAAATAAAATCAGTGGTGATACAATGGCTTTGATCCTCAGCACTGGTTGATTTTATCATTATCTTGGATAGTCAGGGACGCTTCAAAAGCAAGCGCGTTCAACTTGGGATGACTTTACACTAAATAATGTTGAGTTTCCACTACAAAACAATGGCTGCGCGGTGCAAATCGTCCCAGTCCTTAGTTCGCAGTGGAAACTCAATGTTTTTTTAGTTAGCAGGTGTTCCTAGGTCATCAGCCATGAAGCTAGTGTCGGAATACACAAGTTACACAAGCATGTAATCATGTCAGGCATAGGAATTAGGGTCTACTAGTGCTTCCCAACCCTACCAGCCCCAGCCAGAAAGCTTTAGAATAAGAATTGGTTAGCAGACTGGAAGAGGTATATGTTGTGGTTCTAGGGTGAGTTTAGCTTTGGATTGGCAGATACTTTTTTTGCAATCGGGCTTTGGTGAACCGGCAGTCTTGGGCATTTGATTTGTCTTTAGCAGACGTTTCATGGGTCAAGATCAGGGTGCAGTGGGAGCCAACGTCCACCATAAGGATTTTTTTGCCTTGGGGTGGCTCATGTTATTTTCATCAAGTTGCCTCCGCTGAGGTATTCTGATAGCTTCGTTAGATGATGAATTTGCAGGGTTGGACCCACAGTTTTTAAAATAAACTACCTTGGCTACCCCCCAGAATTGGTTTATTTTTGGGGGTGCTGACGTCCCCGCTGTCACCAGACCGCTCTTATCTGGCGCTATCGAATGGTTTATGGATGCACACCTCTAAACCTGTGTTTCTTGCAGTTTGATGTTCTGCACCATGTACTGTTCCATCTGTTCCTGTCACATGCGTTGGTTGTGCCGTCCCGGTGCCGTCCTGGTGCCTTGCTGTAGTTGCTGGATCATGTGGATAGAGACATGGTTTGCGTGCATATATTGAACTAGTTGCTCATTGTATAGGCGCCATTTATGGCTTTTCTAGTTGCTCAGTTCTGGATCCAAGGATTTGTATATGGCTTTTTCTATTTTGCATCACTCGCACATATTCCAGGACCTTCCAACAGGTCACCAATATACTGTATATTGGATCTGGGGCGGGTGGAGAGGATTGGAGAAGAGACCATGAGGCGAGGTAGAAACTGCTGATGGACGCTATTAACCCAGCTCACGGATCGCTTCTAAGGGTTATAGCTACAGACAAACACCATTAAATTTATTGATCACTTTCTATTAAATTTAATGGTGAGAGATATTTTATTTTACTAATCTATAATCATGACCACACATTTTCATTTAAATATATGTGTGGGGTCAATGGCTAGTCAATTAATTATAATGTTTAGATTAAAAATCTCTCATTTAAATAGCCAATCATTATTCGTTATATATATGTATAATATACCAGGACCTGACTTCACAGGTCACCACCGTTCAGACTTGAAAAAGTCTACAATACAAAAGCCTCCATTTCGGAGACCTGTTGGAAGGTATGGACTGTTGGGCAGCTTGGCATCTGTTTCATTGGGAAAGATCCCCGACACTGTCCTCCATCTTAATAGGGCGCCCTGGAGCAACTCCCCAAACCGGCCCCCCGTAGGCCCGGCTCCTCCGTAGGCTCGGCTCGCGCGAGACGCAGGCGAGTTGGCCATCAGCCGTGCCTTGGGCGATTTGCTGCTGAAGAGCTCAGGCGAAAACGACCCGACGAACCGACGCAGTTGACGCACACGGCGTAGACTTGACGACCAAAACGGATGGTTTGGTTTTTCTTGTGGGCATTTGTCGCAAACGGCGTGGGTATAGGAAGTCTATGTCTTTTCTGTTATTCCACTAAGCAAGTCGAGAATTTGAAGTGCCGACAGGAATAATATGACGTCGACTTAAGGCATGACCAGCAGGGATCGACTGAAAGGAGTGCGACAGCTGTCTCTTCCTGTCTTCATCGGATTGATCTGTCAGTGCTTTGAATATCCAAGAAATGTCAAGACATTGAATCTGCACGTCGTTAGGAGAACATGTTGGCGCCCAGCGGGGTGCCAAGGTCCCAACACGGATGTTGGACGCACCTGCTTGTCCTGGATATGCATAGTAAAAGAACAGCAATATATATATATATAATATATGCTCCAGTGGCCGGCATTGGTCACCAGTTTAAGTATTCTAAACTCTAGAACTTCAGGCTGAGGAGCATTGCCATAGTGTGCGCCTGGATTGCCTGCATCATCATCCCTTTTCCCGCACTCAGGAAGGCTGTCAAGATGTGGAGCCGATGCATCAGCTCTCAACAGCATAATAATCCAGCAAAATCCAGCAGTTCCAAAGGGAGTACCCTAGATTTTAGTTCATTTGGATGTTCTGGCCACTACATGGAACATGTGGAAAAACTTCCCGCGGGCACAGATTGCGGGCTCGATTTGGAACAGCAACAAACATATACAAAAAAGATCTAACGATATTTTTGTATACATAATATATACCCTGGGGATCCAGATACGTTCTCAGACAGTGACTGGAAA